TTGTAACTTTACTGTCTCCATCTCATTTGTAACTTCACTATGTCTCCATCCCATTTGTAACATCACTATGTCTCCATCCCATTTGTAACTTCACTGTATCCATCCCATTTGTAACTTCACTGTCTCCATCCCATTTGTAACTTTACTATGTCTCCATCCAATTTGTAACTTTACTGTCTCCATCCCATTTGTAACTTCATTGTCTCCATCTCATTTGTAACTTCACTGTCTCCATCCCATTTGTAACTTCACTATGTCTCCATCCCATTTGTAACTTTACTGTCTCCATCCCATTTGTAACATCACTGTGTCCCCATCCCATTTGTAACTTTACTGTCCCCATCCCATTTGTAACTTTACTGTCTCCATCCCTTTTGTAACTTTACTGTCTCCATCCCATTTGTAACATCACTGTCTCCATCTCATTTGTAACTTCACTGTCTCCATCCCATTTGTAACTTCACTATGTCTCCATCCCATTTGTAACTTTACTGTCTCCATCCCATTTGTAACATCACTGTGTCCCCATCCCATTTGTAACTTTACTGTCTCCATCCCATTTGTAACTTCACTGTCTCCATCCCATTTGTAACTTCACTGTCCCCATCCCATTTGTAACATCACTATGTCTCCATCCCATTTGTAACTTCACTGTCTCCATGCCATTTGTCATGATGGATGTCACAGGTAAGGCTCATGATAGATGTCACTGGTGAGGCTGTTATGATGGATGTCACTGGTGAGACTGTCATGATGGATGTCACTGGTGAGGCTGTCATGATGGATGTCACAGGTGAGGTTGTCATAATGAATGTCACAGGTGAGGCTGTTATGATGGATGTCACAGGTGAGACTGTCATGATGGATGTCACTGGTGAGGCTGTCATGATGAATGTCACAGGTGAGGTTGTCATAATGAATGTCACAGGTGAGACTGTCATGATGAATGTCACAGGTGAGACTGTTATGATGGATGTCACAGGTGAGGTTGTCATAATGAATGTCACAGGTGAGGCTGTTATGATGGATGTCACAGGTGAGACTGTCATTATGGATGTCACAGGTGAGACTGTCATGATGGATGTCACAGGTGAGACTCTTGATGGATGTCACCGCCGAGTCTGTCCTGAAGTATTTGCAACTGCTCTATACCTTGTCCTTTATGGTGGGACAGTATACTTGAGGGAGGCTAAAAGTTCTGAACCTAACCATGATCGACTGGTTGAGGGAGTTAGTTGCTAAATTTTTTTAACATACCCCCCCTCTGAGGTTAATACACTTCTGTCATGGATGGTGGACTACCTGGATCCCACTGGTATAGAAGGCCTCTTCCTGGTAGTGTAAAAAGTCCTCCTAAGCAGAAATGAGATCATCATCATTTGCATAATGTTTGCCAGACAGTGCTTTCTTCAAGTTAGGGAAGAGGTGGAAATCTTACTGAAATCTGCTTTGACCTATCCATGACTTACATATTGCTAACAAGATCAGCTCGGTCTGCTTCAAAATGACGTTAAGTCTCACAAGATGAGGAACATTTCTGACCACAAGTCTGAGGTGTGCTGAAAGTCTTGACATGTCCAGTGGATTCCTCAGAATGTTCTCAAGTCTCTCATGAGAGATGTCTACTGTATTGATGTGGTGAGTCATTGATCACCTATAATCATAGCATGTAGTTTGTCAACATTTTCCTTTGAGGTTCTCCCTTCTCCTCTTGAACTCCACTGCCCAACAGTAGCAAAGGAAGGGGTATCATCCCCTGAAGTTGACCATGTCTGTATGGATATCTGTTGGAGTCAGTTGGAGATACTTGATGACAGCATGGTAGTCAAGTTTGTCCATTTCGTATACAGTGAATACCCTTTCACTTTGATGCCTGCAGAAATATGCTGCCTGGTTGTGTATTTGGTTCAAATGTCGCCTGTAAACATGGGAAGTACTGTACTTAATACATGTAGACAGTTATGGGTTTAGTAATACATCCTTATTAGTTCGTCTCAGAAGTGTTTATCTGCCCCTTCAACTTGTCCATCATTTAGTAACTGCTGTATATCAGTATCCTGTCCTGTACCCTTGGGCAGTGTGCAACTGCTGTATATCAGTATCCTGTCCTGTACCCTGGGGCAGTGTGCTACTGCTGTATATCAGTATCCTGTCCTGTACCCTTGGGCAGTGTGCAACTGCTGTATACAAGTATCCTGTCCTGTACCCTGGGGCAGTGTGTTACTGCTGTATACCAGTATCCTGTACTGTACCCTGGGGCAGTGTGCTACTGCTGTATATCAGTATCCTGTCCTGTACCCTTGGGCAGTGTGCAACTGCTGTATACCAGTTTCCTGTCCTGTACCCTGGGGCAGTGTGTAATTGCTGTATACCAGTATCCTGTCCTGTACCCTGGGGCACTGTGCAACTGCTGTATACCAGTATCCTGTACTGTACCCTGGGGCAGTGTGCAACTGCTGTATACCAGTATCCTGTACTGTACCCTGGGGCACTGTGCAACTGCTGTATACCAGTATCCTGTACTGTACCCTGGGGCAGTGTGCAACTGCTGTATACCAGTATCCTGTACTGTACCCTGGGGCACTGTGCAACTGCTGTATACCAGTATCCTGTACTGTACCCTGGGGCAGTGTGTAACTGCTGTATACCAGTATCCTGTCCTGTACCCTGGGGCAGTGTGTAACTGCTGTATACCAGTATCCTGTCCTGTACCCTGGGGCAGTGTGCAACTGCTGTATACCAGTATCCTGTCCTGTACCCTGGGGCAGTGTGCAACTGCTGTATACCAGTATCCTGTCCTGTACCCTGGGGCAGTGTGTAACTGCTGTATACCAGTATCCTGTCCTGTACCCTGGGGCAGTGTGTAACTGCTGTATACCAGTATCCTGTCCTGTACCCTGGGGCAGTGTGTAACTGCTGTATACCAGTATCCTGTCCTGTACCCTGGGGCAGTGTGTAACTGCTGTATACCAGTTTCCTGTCCTGTACCCTGGGGCAGTGTGTAACTGCTGTATACCAGTATCCTGTCCTGTACCCTGGGGCAGTGTGCAACTGCTGTATACCAGTATCCTGCCCTGTACCCTGGGGCAGTGTGTAACTGCTGTATACCAGTATCCTGTCCTGTACCCTGGGGCAGTGTGTAACTGCTGTATACCAGTATCCTGTCCTGTACCCTGGGGCAGTGTGCAACTGCTGTATACCAGTATCCTGTCCTGTACCCTGGGGCAGTGTGTAACTGCTGTATAGTCAAGTCAGTCAGTCATATTCGGAGATTTAACGTGCGCTTTCCGCATGTAATAAATTACATTTAGCATATCTCGCACACGGGGAAGCACTTATACTATTGGGGAAGAAAAGCGTAATGAATAGATAAAGAAGTGCGACCCAAAAAAATATAAATTGAAAAACCTAATCTAATAATTCTAGGGGGCTGGGTGGGAGTTGGTGATAAAAGAACAATAATAATATGGAAAGTTTGGGCTTGGGTGGGGGGGTCAAGCGTGGGAAGGCACGGTGTCGGCTGGTGAGCGTATGGCTAGAGGTCTAGCGGCAGTGTCCTTGGAAGAGTCTCTTGGTCAGCTTCTCTTCCTGGGGGTCAGGATTCTGATAGAGACTCTTGGCAAGGAGGGCGGCGGTGTTGGCGATGAAGTGGTCGGAGGATGGAGCGCCATTACTTTGAAAAAAGTGGAACAAGTCTGTGAAACTTGTGATGTCGTATTCAAACTCCTGACCCGACTTCTTGTGTACCATGGCGAATGGAACTCCTTGCTTAGCGTAGAGCTGCTCCTTGGGGGTGGAGACGAGCTCAGCATGGAGGTCCAGGTGAGTCTTATAGTGGTTAATCAGGATGTCTGATTTTTCCACTAAGACGTCCCTGAAGCTTTTGACCCTAGGGGGGTTCTCGACCGGGGTGGTCTGGGTCTGGGCTTCGCTGAGGGATGTGGGCTGTGGCACTGTGGTCTGGACGCTGGAGTCGTTTAGGGCGGGCTCCGTGGTCTGTGACTCTGTTGACGTGGTTGACGCGGTGGTGGTGGTTGGTCAGGGGGAAGGTTCAGGTGAGGGGATGTCTCTCCTCTTCCTCTTCTCCCTCACGTGGCCGGTGCCCTCGGGCGAGCGGAAGGGCTCCTCCCCTCTTGATTCGAGGGGAGCAACTTCCAACGCAGCTGCGGGGGGAGGTGGAGTGGTCGGGTGGTCGGGAGGGAAGCCTCTATCTCCATGTCTAGGACTGGAGGAGGGGTCTTCTTTTCCCGTGGGGGCCTGTTTTTCTGCACCGGGCGGGAGGAGCTGAGGCCTGGGTGGGTACCACTTGAGGCTTGGTCTTGACCAGAGGCCTCTTCCTTTGACATAGGTCGAAGGAGATGGAGAGCATAAAAGTGTTGGACTTGTAGGAAGTCCTGAGGGAGTAGTCCCCAACCCGGAAGGCCAGCAAGGGCTCCAGGATGGAGACAAGCTCCCTCGGTAGTGACAAAGCGATGTCTCTCATTATGGCTAATGAGCTGGAGAGCAGGGAAGGACACGTGCGCGCTGTGCGATGTCCAAGCCGAGATGCTGTATACCAGTATCCTGTACTGTACCCTGGGGCAGTGTGTAACTGCTGTATTCCAGTATCCTGTACTGTACCCTGGGGCACTGTGTTACTGCTGTATACCAGTATCCTGTCCTGTACCCTGGGGCAGTGTGCAACTGCTGTATACCAGTATCCTGTCCTGTACCCTGGGGCAGTGTGCAACTGCTGTATACCAGTATCCTGTCCTGTACCCTGGGGCAGTGTGCAACTGCTGTATACCAGTATCCTGTACTGTACCCTGAGGCAGTGTGTAACTGCTGTATACCAGTATCCTGTCCTGTACCCTGGGGCAGTGTGTAACTGCTGTATACCAGTATCCTGTACTGTACCCTGGGGCACTGTGTTACTGCTGTATACCAGTATCCTGTACTGTACCCTGGGGCAGTGTGCAACTTCATGGCACCACCATAATATGGATATTTTTATGTTTCAGATCAAAGAGAAAGAGTATTTAAGGAAAAAGATGGCTTGCTCAATCGGCGGCGTGGTGCTATGCGAAGGCGGGTCCACCAGGTCAACGGACACAAGTTCATGGCAACAATTTTACGACAACCAACATTTTGCTCACTTTGTAGGGATTTTATATGGTAAGGATTATGAGAGTGAAATCTGTACATTGCTGTTACTCATTTAATACTTGACACATTTTAACACGTTTTAAGACTGGAACTTTTTTATCATTATGTGTTATAACATGTAGCTGTCTGATCTGCCTGGCACTGTTTGGGAAAACCCCGCCAGACTGGTTATCAATTTCTATTGGACAATAACACGATAAGACCAAATTGGGTCTCTTACGTTTATCATAGAAACTGCATTTGGGTATTCAGTTGAAATGCAAGTATACAATGTGTAGCGTTTGTGTTAATCAGGTCTATTCCCGTTGAACCGGGTCCGAGTGTGAAGTCAGTTCATTATTGACTTAGGTAGTTTATGGATAGTATATAAAAAAAGAAGCTTTTTGTGTGGTTATGTTTTAATAAAATTAAATGTCAGTCATTTTGAGATCTATTCAATTTTAATTTTGACCATGTTGACACTAGGGAAGTGACCTTCGAGACTGTCCTAGGTACAGGTTTGATGGGCACAGTGTAGGTTCCCAATTCAAACCATAGTGATTGTGATCAAAACAGTGTCAGTCCATTGTGGAAAGCACATTCTTTCACTTTTAGACTCTTTTTTTCCAGTGCACTAAAAATATCTGCATCAGTGCAGGGAGGCCCAAAACAATACATTAAGCTTATTATGCACACAATTCTATTGGTCAAATTGGTTAAGATAGTCACTGGTATTTTAACAAAATGTTAAACTTTTGCTGGTCTTGTTATTGTAGTTATTTAACTTGTATTTGTGCACACTGTGATTATATCAGAGGTATAACAATAATATGGCCTCTCAAAACATAACAATTTGTTAAACTGTGTGTGAAAACATGTTGTGTACAGTTGCTAAGATTGGAAGGTAACTTGTTCTGTGTAACATTGTTCACTTATTAAGGTAAGAATATGGAGAGCACTGTTGTTTTGTATTACGTTGTATTAATGCTCAATCAAACAACATTAAGACCTAATATAAGCATTAATATTCATGGAATCTTAAGCACAGCTGGATACATAAGCAAATATACAATGAATATATAGTAACAGTAGTAAAGCATCGTCAAACATGCAAATATGGAAGGTGCAAGATCCAATATCCAAGTTTGTGTGTTGCTTTCATTTGAGTTATAATTGATATGGGCATGATGGGACATTTTTAAATGTTGCATGTATATTATTCTCCCATGTGTGAAAATATAGGCATTTAACGATAGGAGAATACCAAGGGCTGTGTACATGGTGTAGGGACAAATCTGAGGACTGAATACACACAGTGCTTGTTGTGTTGCAGGGGACTTGGGAAGCAGGGCTACCAGTGTCAAGGTAGGTGCTCTCTACATCTTCCTTACAACATGTTGTAGCAAGAGGCAACGGTGGGCCTGTCATCTAAGGCACTATAATTCACTGTGCAGATTTGCATCCCATAGTGGTGAATTGATCTGCTGGTTTTGTGTTCGAATTCCAGAATTACCCTGACAGTGAACATTGATTTGTCAGCCCCATACTCATTGCCAACGGCTTTCACCAAGTTACAAGTGTCTGTGACCTGTGTAACCTAGGGCTGTCTGCCGACATTAGGCTGACCTGTGGTCATGGTGGTGATATAGCTGAAATATAATGAAAAGTGACAGTGAAAACCACTCGCTCACACATCATTTCACAATTTACGTTACTGAAACCTGCGGCCCATTGCCCATGGATCAAAGAAAGGTGTCGCCAATTTGAAGTACAGGTCTTAGGATGTACATTTTAAAGTATGATGACATTGATGATAATGGTCAGGAAATCTATTTTGGCTGTTTGCCAAAATAACAATTGAGATTTGTTTTTCTATATACTGAGTAATAACCTGTTTTGATAGTTGTAGTTCAGGGATAAATATTACTTTATGAAGTTGATGTATTAGAGGATTGCTGAAGTAAGGAGTAAACATCACTCAGTATGTAGTCTGTGCATCACCATCCTCAATGAATGAGGAAGTTTCAGTGTGTCCCCACTTGTGTTTCAGTTTGTACTTGTGTTGTTCATAAACGCTGTCACGAGATTGTGGTCACCAAGTGTCCGGGCTGCACCAAGGAAGGTGATGAGGTAAGTGAGGACAGCATCACACTTCACACTTTACTCACCTATTTATTCATGTGCAGCTGTGGTGTCTCAGTATATACACCTGGAGAAAACTTTAAGCTCCACCTGTCTATATGTCCACCTGTATTGTTTGGAACCACCACAGGGCTAGAATGGTTCTATGTTCAAGTTTGCATGTGGCACTCATTAAGATGTTCAGGTCTGCACTTTTGGAATTAGGAATTCTTTTGATCCATCTTCAAAACTCACTGAATCCAATTTCACCATGAGAAGAGCTATTATTTAGAAAGTTTGTCCCTTCCTTTTCACTGAGATTGATGATAATAAACATTTCCGTTTGTGAATCTTCAGGTTATCATGTCATTCATACTGTACTCTAAGCGTGTCCCCATGCTCATATACATTGATGTGGTTCAGGCTGTACACTAATGCATATTTACCCAGTTCACCAGTGTCAAATTAAATTTATTACTCAGTCATTAGAGATATTCCTGTTTGATAAACATACATCTGTCTTAAACATTGTATATTAACATCACTTACAGACTGAACTGTTTTTGGTCATCAGACAATCATTTGAATGGAGGTGTCGGTAGCACATTGCAACTGTGTGCAAGAGTCACTCAATCTCTGTTCCCAGATGGATAATCTACTCCCAATGTGGACACTACTAATTTTCACTAAATTCCATGTGGTGCATACACGTAATATGTACTTTGGTATTATTGACATAGTTTTTTCAGTTACCTGTGATGTATTGCAGGACTAGAAACAAATATGTTTGAAATAGAGAGAGTATACGGACTGTCATGTTGCAGTATTGCAAGCATGGTGACATGGCAAGTTTCAGAGCATCACTAACAAACAAAACATATTGGAGCATCATCACTCTATTCATAGTCGTGTCTACTTACCTCATTCTGCAAAGGAGAGGAGTTCACCAACAACCAAATGGCAGTTGTTAGAAATGCGCATAGAGCAAATGGTGCTCACCAGGTTTTCAGGTGTATATTAGGATGACGAGAAATTCCTCCTAGATTTAGTAACGTCACTTGTCCATTACCTCCAGCTGTTGAATCTGCCAGTGAAGAAGTGTTTTGTGTATTATTGTCTCGCAACTTATAATTGATTCTTGATTGTATTATCAATATGTCTGCCATGAATTTGGCCATTTTGTTGTGTTGTCAGTGACACTAGGCCGACTGCTGACAATTCTCTGCTCCCAAACCACCTGGTGAATTGTTTCTCCATCACTGTTTCAGGCCACGGGCACAAGGTTCAATATCAACGTTCCTCATCGGTTTTGTGTCCATAGTTACAAGCGTCCCACATTCTGTGACCACTGTGGGTCACTTCTCTATGGGATCATAAAGCAAGGCTTGCAATGTGACGGTCAGTACAAAAAGATTTTTAAACCTGTTACATCTATGTTTACCATGATTTTTGTAATAATCAAAACAAAATGTCGTGAACTTATATTTGTGATAGAACAAATGTTTTATGTAAACGCCTACCTTAAGTTTTGTTGTATTGTTTATGTTGAAGTTTTTAGGTAAATACAATGATTACCTAACACTTAAAAGAAAGTATCCAGGATTATTATGGTATGTAAATATGTAATTGAGCCTCAGTCGATTAAGACCGGTGTGTGTGTGTGTGTGTGCGTGTGTGTGTGCTATATAAGAGTTCATTATGGTTAAGGAAAGTAATTTAAGACACCTATCTGTAAGTATTACAAATCCATTTGTCTCAAAGATATCGCTGAATACAAGAAAATAAGAAAAATATCAATCTCCTTAAACATGTTAAAATCAGATCTTAGTTCTCGCTACCACTAAAAAAGGATCTGAGGACATCCCATTAGGGTTCATGTCAGAACGACCTTTCATCTGACCAATCAGAGCGTCGCTTACCAGATCATGAAAGTGACAGTCGGAATGTGATTTCTAATCAAGCAACCTCGAAAACTTTAACACGGGATATTCCGAACGATAGTTACAGGCTTAACAACTGAATCCATACAATCTAGACCATCTATTAGCCATTCCAGAATGTTCTTTTGTACAGGTTTCAAATCTTTAATCGAGAATTGGTCAAAATATGTTTCGAAGCGTAGTCACCAGTTTGAAATTAGTGCCGTAAAGCACGAGAAAGCTGCCTTCTGTTTGGCTAATGTCAACTTCTTGTCAGTCATTCCATTGGTCGGTTAAAGTTCGCGCAAGGTCGGTCTGACTTGATCCGTAATGGGGTGTTCTCTGATCTTTGTTTAGCATTGGCGAGAACTAAGATCTGATTTTAATTAGATTGGGAAAATATGGGATCGTCACATTATGCACAAGAAAAAACTATGTGATTTCTACATGAAATAGGTGGAGAGAATAATGGTAGATGTACATTCTTTGTTGCAGCATGCAAAATGAACATCCACAAACGTTGTCAAAAGAATGTGGCCAATAACTGTGGTATTAATGACCGGATGCGGGACATGGCCCAGATTCTGCATGACCTGGGAATCTCAGGAGACAAACTCAGTGGCAAGCCCAAGAAGGTTTGTGTGTTGCCATTATATCATATGACCAGTGAGTGGTCAGTCTTTGTTCTCTCGCACATTCATTCATGAAGGCAGAAAGACAGTTGTAGTTTCTCTGTGACCTCTTTTCTGTCAATGGTATTATGAAAATTAATGTCTGCTGTTAACTTTACTATATTTTGCACTATTTTGTTTCACAACATGGTTTTCAATCCATGAAATAACTTACTGTATAAAGGGAGGTAACAAATGTTTAAGGGTTAAATGGGAATCAGAGTTACCTCCCTTCTATTTTCTGAAGTAAATACATTCAATTAATATTCCTTTGTCAAATATCTTTTAAATTGAAAGCTATCAATTTTAGACAAATTTCTTCAAGCTGCTATTGTTGACATTTATTCTTCATGAATGTACATCCCATTGTTGAAACTTGGAACATATTCACTGTAAGACCATGTGTTTACTATTAGGTAATTTGGTGTTTTGTAAGGAAACACTTGATGTTTTCAATATCAGTGTTAAAATTGTCACTGTTGTTTTTGAATTTGGACAGTAATATTCACTTAACATGTAACATAATTTTCCATGTTCAAATGCAGAAAAAGAAGTCTTTTTTAAAAATCTTTTCTACCCTTTGGTAACAGAGAAGTCATCCAATATAAATTATAGTTTATGCATGATTGCTGTTGACTGTAGATTTTATTATTCAGTTGTTACTTACAAACTTGGAGATACACACAGTGATTCGGGAGAATTACATCTTTATTGAAAATGAAGTGCACAGTTTCTCAAGGTGCTCTAGGATGGACACCAGTGTGAGGATGCCGAGTTTAAAACACTAGTGTTCATACTTAAAACAGTGGCATATTCTCAGAAAACACTAGTGTTCATGTTAGAAACACATACAAAACATGTGCAAAACTGTTGACGTGCAATGATGTTTTACAGTGTTGTGCTTTTCAGCCCTCATTTAGTGAGTCTCCCAACAAGAGTGCTGCAACAGTTCATGAAAGATCTTACTCATCACCAATACCTGCCATGCCAGATGCATGTAAGTAAACATCACAACAGCATTCAAAAACATGGTGGACATACATTTTGAAAGTTGTGTAGAACACCTACTGGTATATGAATTGTTATTTTTGAGTTTATGGAGGTTTTGTTTCCATGAAGAAGCTGACGGTTGAAGTGAATGTGCCTGTTGCAGATGAGGATGTGTTAATGGAAGCAGGTCGTCATACATTTATGGGGGACACGTTGATGGTGTCATCCACTAATGACCACCAGAGAGCCAGGAGTCCATCACAAGAGCGTGGGGCACGCATGCGTTACCATCTCACAGACTTCAACTTTATCAAAGTTCTTGGGAAAGGAAGTTTTGGGAAGGTAGGATCATGTGTATCATACAGTCATATTTAACATGTTAAACAAAGTTCTTATTCCTTTTACTGCTAAATTGATATCTTACTGTCACACTTTATGTAGATCACATTAGGTGGCCAATTGTTACTCGAAGCACCGCAAAACACAAATGAAAACATCATTGTTCTTATTGCGGGTTGAAGATTTCACTGCATATAACTTCTGTGCATATAACTTCTATGTAATTTTTATTAATATTGTATAACTTGTTCAAGTAACATTATGGCTGAAATATTGCTGACATGATTTAAATCAAACTCACTCACTCACTACTGGTAGTTTGAAAAACTGGGTTGTCACAGAATTGTCATCATTACTCTGAAAGCAGATGATGGTAATGTTAACCCATGTTGTGTTGAGCAGGTGATGCTGGACCAGTAATGTTAACCCATGTTGTGTTGAGCAGGTGATGCTGGACCAGTAATGTTAACCCATGTTGTGTTGAGCAGGTGATGCTGGACCAGTAATGTTAACCCATGTTGTGTTGAGCAGGTGATGCTGGACCAGTAATGTTAACCCATGTTGTGTTGAGCAGGTGATGCTGGTCCAGTAATGTTAACCCATGTTGTGTTGAGCAGGTGATGCTGGTCCAGTAATGTTAACCCATGTTGTGTTGAGCAGGTGATGCTGGTCCAGTAATGTTAACCCATGTTGTGTTGAGCAGGTGATGCTGGACCAGTAATGTTAACCCATGTTGTGTTGAGCAGGTGATGCTGGTCCAGTAATGTTAACCCATGTTGTGTTGAGCAGGTGATGCTGGTCCAGTAATGTTAACCCATGTTGTGTTGAGCAGGTGATGCTGGTCCAGTGATTTTAACCCATGTTGTTGTTTTCATGCAGGTGATGCTGGCTGAGTGCAAGGGTACAGATGAGGTGTTTGCTGTGAAAGTGTTAAAGAAAGATGTGATATTACAAGACGATGATGTGGAGTGTACAATGACAGAGAAGAGGATACTGGCTCTGTCGGCTAAGCACCCCTTCCTCACTGCACTACACTCCTCTTTCCAGACAAAGGTATGTGCTCCATGCTGACACTTTCAACTGATGCTTATGTTATTGGCATATATAGTCAGCAGCAGACTGGAACTGTTGCATTCTGTGAACTTCATGCAAGGTGAGCACCAGGTGTTCATCTACTCTTAAGGCAATATATGTCTGACCTCGATCAAGGGGAGTCTGGATGTAATAGCATGTTATTGTTAAACTAGACAGTGGCTAATGAGCCAATGACAGGTTATCACCCCACTGGATACTCGTTGTTTGAGCCTTGATATGGCTTGTGTTTTGCAGGAGCGCTTGTTCTTCGTGATGGAATATGTCAATGGAGGCGATCTCATGTTCCAAATACAGAGAGCTCGCAAGTTTGACGAGCCACGGGCACGCTTTTATGCTGCTGAGGTGACACTAGCGCTCATGTTCTTACACAAAAATGGAATTATCTATAGGTAAGTCTAGTTGCAAGTGTTGAATACCAAGGGTAATAGACGGACAGTAGACTTACAAAAGTTTTATCAAACGTGGGGGACCTATTCTTGCCATGGAATTCCTGGTGGGAGACAAACATGGGGGACCTATTCTTCCCATGGAGAACCTATTCTTGCCATGGAATCCCTATTCTTGCCATGGAATTCCTGGTGGGAGACAAACATAGGGGACCTATTCTTGCCATGGAATCCCTGGTTGGAGATAAACATGGGGAACCTATTCTTGCCATGGAATCTCTGGTGGGAGACAAACATGGGGAACCTATTCTTGCCATGGAATCTCTGGTGGGAGACAAACATGGGGAACCTATTCTTCCCATGGAGGACCTATTCTTGCCATGGAATCCCTGGTGGGAGATAAACATGGGGAACCTATTCTTGCCATGGAATCCCTGGTGGGAGACAAACATGGGGGACCTATTCTTCCCATGGAGGACCTATTCTTGCCTTGGAATCCCTGGTTGGAGATAAACATGGGGAACCTATTCTTGCCATTGAATCTCTGGTGGGAGACAAACATGGGGAACCTATTCTTGCCATGGAATCCCTGGTGGGAGAAAAACATGGGGAACCTATTCTTGCCATGGAATCCCTCTTAGGAGACAAACATGCAATATTAGAAATATATCTGTGCTGTACAAATAATTTTAGAAATATTGTTAGATACCCAGGTACTGCGATATGTAATTGTCAATTGATTGGACCTGCATCTATGTTAAATGCAATTGCAATGAGCAATCTCCCTTGTGACCAAGGTATGCATTCCATAAGCAGCTGAAATCAGAATAATGCTGTTACTATTTATGTTTACATACTTAAATATGTTTGATTGAAAATGGCAAAAAGGAATTAAATTATTAAAATATACCCCAGTAAAATATATTTTTTAACTTATCCTGCATTACTCCTTCATGCATTTATTGCTGTTTTCTGACAGAAAGACGAACTGTGTGAGATCCAACTGCTGAAGAAAAGTTGTTCCAACCAGTAGAGGCAGCACCCTCGCACAGTCGGCACGTGACCTACCATTTGGAATTTCCACGGCCCCGTGGCTTTTCACACGGATCACTGACCTGTGGCCACCTACTTACGCCTGAGGAATGTCAACTTCGAGTCCTACATCTATGTCTGTCTCCTCAACAATCATGACTCGGAGTTGCTACTTCGCAACAGTAATTTTACCCTACGACTTTTCCATTAGCTGTGGTCCAGAGATCAACTCCACTGGCACAGCAACAATCTTGAACTAGAAGCTCTCATCCTGGCCGTCTCCTACCGGCAGAGCACTCTCCCTCACGCCCAGTTGACCATCTCCACAGACAACATCACCGTGGGGTGGTGTCTGAGGAGTCAGGGTACTCTCCACTCTCAGTCCCTGTTAAACCAGACCTTCCGATTCTTCGACAGATTGGACCTGCAATTCCTTGTTCAACTCATTCCAGGTTGTGAGAATGTTCTGGCAGACGCTCTGTCCAGGCCGGACAAGGTGGCTCCCACCGAGTGGCAGCTTCACCCAGAAATCTTCTCCAGGATTTGCGGAACGATCGATTCCCCAAACATGGATCTATTCACTACATCTCAGAACTGCCAGCTGTCAACTTAGATTTCACTGGGGCCGGATCCGGGAGCAGTGGCATTAAACACATTCTGCCTCCAGTACTCCTTACCAGGGTTCTTCAAAAGATCCAGGCCACATGAAACCAAACACTGATTTGGTCGCAACTTGGTGGCCAACCAAAAGTTGGTTTGTAAACCTCCAAAACCTCGCCAGAGACAACCCTCTTGAACTTCCGTCGTGGCCCAATCTTCTGTTCCAACCACACAGTCGGTTGCAACACCCGAACCCCACACGGTTTAGTCTGCACACTTCGCACATCTGCAGAAAGCCCTAGAAGCCAAGGGCTATACAGCTAGAGTGATCAAGGCTATTGCTTTAGCCCATCTTCCATCTACACAGGGATTGTATAATGACGAATGGTGTTCTTTCCAGGCATTCTGCTCAGACAAACACCAGGATCTGATGACAGCATCACCGCAGTTCCTGGCCGAGTTCCTCCTATACTGAAAGGTCTTCAGCAAACAAACAAGCAAACAAATCCTTCTTTACTTGCACAGCACACATTGAAAGGCTCTACCATCTCCACATGCTTGGTCACCATCAACTCTGTTCTTGCCATCCCGAACAATCAGAGAATGACGAGCTGCAGTTGTTCTGTCTTGAAGACCAGAAAGCCAAGTTCAGACCTCCTGCATGGGATCTGTTTGTTTGTTTGTTGTTTAATGCCGCATTCAGCAATATTCAAGTCTGTAAATAATCGAATCTGAACCAGACAATCCAGTGATTGATATCATGGGCATCAATCTATGCAGTTGGGATCGATCACATGCTTCAACGAGCCTGACCACCCGATCCCATTAGTCGCCTCTTACGACAAGAGTAGTCGCCTTTCACGGCAAGCAAGGGTTGCTGAAGACCTATTCTACCCTGGATCTTTATGGGTCACTTGGGATCTAAATGTGGTCTTACAGACCCCTCGGACGGCTACCTTTAAACCACTCAACTTGTCTTCTTTTTAAGATCTTACCAAGAAAACGGTGTTTCTCCTGGCTTTGGCTAGCTTCTCAGGTCAGTGAGCTACATGGCCTTGATGTCTCCTGTGTCCAGTTCGGAAGCGGCACTCATGGCGCCGTTCATCTTGGACTGTGCTGGGACTTCATTGCAAAGAATCACCTCCCAGACAGAATACTGTTTCCCTATGGCTCCGGGCGGTCATCCTCCAAGCTTATAAAGCCATTGGTTTAGACCCACATGAGATCAGGGCGGTCGCATCAACCATGGCTCTTCACAATAAGGCTGTTATTGCTATTTGACACTTCTTCTCCAACCACTACCTCTGTGATGTAGCCTTGGAAGATGTTGCCAGCGTTCACAGTTTTGGTCCCCTTGTTGTAGCCCAACAGGTCACCAATCCCCAACGCCGCTGATTCTCTGATACCCTGAGTGGGGTCCATCGACCTCTCTGGTGTTTATCACCCCAGACTAGAGGGCTCTACTACGTTTCGCATTCACTCTTAGGTCAGATGTAGTTTTTGGCTACCCGCCTCATTCTATTTCTGTTTCCTATTCGGGTTTTCCTCTCTCCATCGACTCTCATTTCCTTTCGACAGGAATGGTCGTAGATGTTCCGGTCATCACTTGATAAAGTAGACACAATTTATGTTAGTTTTCTTTTAGTGAAATCATGGAGGTTTTTGGAGAGGATTTGGACATTGTCCCAGTTGATGTTGTGATTAGGACAGTTGCTGATATGGTCCGAGATGGCTGATTCACTGTTCTTATTTGATGGTTGAGGTTTTGTGCTCTTTGATTCTGGTGTTGAGGGGGCGGGATGTTTCACCTACATAAAATCAAGAGTGAATCTGCCATCTAGGACCATACCAGCAACTGTCTTAATCACAACATCAACTGGGACAACGTCCAAATCCTCTCCAACAACCTCCATAATTTCACTTAATGAAAACTAACAGAAGCAGTCCACAATCGCCGCCACAAGCCATCAATCAACAGAGATCAAGGCTATTTCATCCCATCCGCCTACTATGAACTAATTAAGCAATAATCACCACACCATGTGAACTTATCCTGTTTTACTGGCTTCATGTCCCATTGGCTTTCACCCATGTGTTCTCTGTCCGTCATGTTGTGACAGTATTATCCTTCTGTTGTCATCACTTACTCGTGTTATCCCACTCATGCATGCAATTTTCGTTACTGTTAACCCTCTACTGTTAATCCTCCACCTTCTATATATATTCTGTACAATGTCCCTCATTCAGTCTTGCTTGACAATGGTATAAGGATCTATACCAAAACGTTGCTTTTTACAGTATTAAAGAAGTTGTTATCTATAAATTGTGTCTACTTTGTCATCCGACAACTTCTATGTAATACCTATCAAACGGGTTCATCAAACCTTGACAAGGTTTTCTTATGGATCACATCTGAAGGTAGGCCCACCTGCTGTGCCATCTGATAAAGATGCAGTAAGGAGTAATGCAAGATAAGTTAAAAAATGTTTAGTAAAATCTAAATAGTTTTTACTTTTGTATACTTATCCTGCATTACAAAGTCTAAGTGCCCTCTCTTCACTACCCTGCCTCCCCACAAAGTTTCAGATGTTGTGTTTCCAGCAGTTATGTGTATTGATGTGACGTCATAACTTCAGTCACGTGCGGACTGTGTGAGGGTGCTGCCTCTACTTTTCTTCAGCAGCTGGATCTCACCCAGTGCATCTTTCTGTCAGAACAGCAGTAAATGCATTAAGGAGTAATGCAGGATAAGTATACAAATGTAAAAAATGTTTAGATAAAATTTCTATATCTATTCCTTACTTTGTTCCTTGACAGAGATTTAAAATTAGACAACATTCTCCTTGATGCGGAAGGCCACTGTAAGATTGCTGACTTTGGTATGTGCAAGGAAGGAATGTTCGAGAACAGAACTACGCAGACATTCTGTGGGACGCCAGACTATATTGCTCCAGAGGTGAGACATTCAGTAGCAAGAATAGGAAGAATATCTTCGGGATGCTTTTTTAAGTTCCAAATCCCCTATGGGGACACCTCGGTTTGCGGCACCTATTGTTCTAGGTTAAAAATTACCCAACCATTACTGACAAGTGTACAATAGAGGGATTATGAGGATTAAAAAGGGATTTAAATTAGGGCAACATGACTTTTGTTATTTTATTTCTCATGTTCATACAGCATACATTATAAATCATACATGTGTTCATACATACAAAATATATAAACTTAAAGTCAGAAATTAAATTAATTATTTACACTTCACATACATTTTAACTCACAAACCAATAAATCTTGCCACAGAATCAGCATATTCTGTTGGTGACTTGAGCCCTGCCAACAACTCCTGCTTTTCCCTCTCAATACCGCTATCCACATTGCGGTACTTCCTCCTCTTTGGATCCAAATTTGGAGGAAGTTGCCCACCAGCCTGGATTTGCAGGAGCAGTGACTCTACAAAACACTGTTCTTTTTTTATAATGTCAATGAATTTGAATATATTTGGATTTGGATTGGTTCAACATGATATGAAACTCACGTTTGACACTGATTATACTGAAAAGTGTTCACCAATTCGTGTCAGCCACGCGTCACCGTTAATGAAGCAGGGTTCACTGGTCCCTATAATCCTGTAGATAAACATCTAAATTGCTGGCACATTTAATCTCTTATTCAAACATTCAGGGTGCCGGCAAACTGAGGTTAAACCTCCCCTACAAACCATGTTTTTGTCAAAAGATCACAATAGTGTTAATCTTGGATTTAGGAGTTCCATGTGTGTCTGGGTGTACGGGGATTTAGTAGAAGAATGGGCTTGTACATCTTGAGACTACAGGACTGTACATGACTATGCAGCTTGGAAAATCCTGTACACCCTACAATTGACATATGTAACAATTTTATCATTACAAGTTTCAGAGAATTATCTCTGTGAAATATTTATGTGACAATTAGTTCTTCTTGTGCTGGCTATAACATCCTCAGTATGGCAAACAGGGTCAGTTCTAATATGACGAGCGCTGGGATGTAATACCCATACAGGCTGGCCAGCTGTTTTGTATGGGTTTTTACAAGTTAGCAAGTGGCAGTCAGACAGCAAGAGTATTGATGAAGCTTCTTTAAACAATCAAAAACTCGGAATATGATGTTTTCCATTATGTTAACTGTTGACATTTTATTCATTTGCTAAGCTAAGGCTGTGAGAGAAAGTGATGTATATTGTGTTTGCTAGATTCTGCAAGAGCTGGAGTATGATGCGTCTGTGGACTGGTGGGCACTGGGGGTGCTCATGTACGAGATGATGGCAGGCCAGCCACCGTTTGAGGCAGACAATGAAGATGACCTGTTTGAGTCTATACTTCACGACGATGTGCTCTACCCGGTCTGGCTCAGCAAGGAGGCAGTAGCCATTCTCAAAGGGGTGAGAATTTTCTTCTGCATTCAAGACTGTCAACTTATCATATCCCAATGGGAACCTGGATTAGAATAGCTCCCCAACACCCTATTGCTGTCATCAGAGGCGACTAAATTGGTTCGGATGATGGATTTGGTTGATTGCATGTCACATTATACCTTGATGGCATGGACGTAGCTAATTATAATATTGTTACTGACATTTGCCATGATGTAGCTAGAATACTGCTGATTGGGGCATTAAACAACATATAAACAAGCAAGCAAATCAACCAATCTTGCTACAAGAAATGTGATGACATGTGATTATTCTGTTTCAGTTTATGACAAAGAACCCAGCAAAGCGACTAGGCTGTGTTAAAACCCAGGGCTGTGAGAAAGCTATTCTCATTCACCCGTTTTTCCATGAGAAAATTGACTGGGAGGCATTAGAACAGCGGAAGGTGAAACCGCCCTTCAGACCAAAAATTGTAAGTACAATTTCTCTTCCATGTATGTTTCATAATAGCAACAGTAACAGAAGACTAGCAACAAACACTCCTGCAATATTTAAGTAAAACAAAAAATCCTCTTGATGAAAAGAACATTTCAAGCATTGCATGTTTCTTTTTTTTAACTATGCCCTTTAGTCACATCCATTGCCACTCCTTCTTCAGTTCTTTTCTGAATGAAATGCTTTGTGCTTTACAGAAAAACAAAACGGATGCCAACAACTTTGACCGGGACTTCACGTCGGAGGAGCCTGTGTTGACACCGATGGATCCAACCATGGTGAAGTCCATTAACCAGGAAGAGTTCCGAGGATTCTCGTTCATCAACCCTGACTACGGCAAGCTGGACCTAGAGGGCGCCACAGGCACATGTGCTGCTGCCTCTTCAGCTGTGGGGACAGGGCACTAGTGTCTCCCACCCCTATCTACCAGCACCCCTCCCACAGACAGACCGACAGACAGATGGACACACAATGGCCCTACATAGTTATTTATTGAATCCCAGTTCACTCTGAGCATTGGAGGTCCTGAGATGTATGTTTGAACTGTGAAGCCGTCTCTCTGAAGGGCGGACAAATCCAGCCGCTCTGTCCTTCAGCCACTGCGGATGGCACTCTCTCCTGTATTTATTGATTCCATGGCCTCAGAATCACTCCTGATATCTTCATGCTGTGTAGGAGGTATGGAGGCTCAGATGGAACTGTTTTAACTTTGGTTTATTGTCTATCAACTGTTGGACGGCTCCACCACATAACATGTTTATTTATTCAAATCAAGTCTTCTTTGTTTTGGGTTTTTCTTCCTGAGTGAGAATGAGTCAGTTTGATCCCGTTGACCACTGATAGTTAAGGCTTTTGTTATTTCACATGATATTAAGTTTATGGTGACTCTAAGCCCTGTGTTCATTTTGTTATGACTGATTCCTCTAAGGTATCAAGTATTACTTGTCATAATACATGCTCAGCATTTCTTCTACATACAGTTAATGAGGCTGCAGGCAAGTGTGGCCGGTGTCTGCCCAATGTTTAAGAATCATGGAATAATGGGATTCAGAGCTGCAGTGATTGTTCAACCAAGTTGGTGAATGATGTTGGCCTCATTTCCTGAGTCCATTAAGACAAGGCGGTTTCAGACTCTGGGATGCTAGATCTCCCAGCTCCCTCCTTTTTGCAGCATTTCTGTCGCCTTCAAGTTTTTCTTCTTTTCTTTAACTTTGGTGTTGAGCCTCTTAGATTTGATAATGAGCTATCAGAGAAATCTGAGGCAGCATTTTATAATAAATAACCTTCAAATAATTAAAGAAAATGCATAATTATAGCCTCTACTTGTCCCCTACCCAATATATTTATTCTCCAGGAAGATGTAAATCAATAGTGTTCTGTTGTATATGAGAATGTTATTCTTAAAGCTGTACAAATCCAGTGATGTAAGGAGCTTTGCATTTGAATGTTCTATTATGGCATAAAATGTCAGCTAACCTCTTTTATGCTAAGTCCAATTTTTTGTGCAAGTTTGCCTGACAACCGTCATTAAAAATCTCTCATTTCTCCATTGTTAATGAAAGTTGGTGGAAAGCCTGTTCAATTTGCCAAATCATAATATACAATCTGTTGTTCAGTGTCCATGCATGGTTGACCTGTTGGCTACATATCAATGTGGTGGCCATCTTGCAATGTGACCTATTTTTTACATTTAATACTGTTATCTCAACAACTCTCCCCTGGTCTTTTTGACAAAGATTATCCTTGCATGGTTGAGACACTTCCGACTGAATGTAGTGAACTTGGTAACCACACTGATCAGTACAAAGTAAGATTTGTCCTCTTCTGCTAATGTCTTTTTATTCATTCATTGACTACCAAACACTACACATTTAGATGTAATTTTATCCTTCCAGGTTAATTCCTATTTTATGAAAAAAAGTATTCCATAGAAGATGATGACTATTCATAGGAATCCTGCTTTGCCATAAAGCCCAGGGCTAGTATTGTCATATTGTTGCAAGATGTCCTTCATCTAATGCATTGTCAGAGTACTGACTTTTCATGTGCAATATGGGTATTTTAGCATCAAGACAGTTGTGTTCCTGTTATTATTATTATTATTAATAATTGTTTATGAAAGCTGTAGCTATATGCATATTAAAGACTCTATATTCAAGTTTTCATGGAAACAGAATGACGATGATCTGTAACACGATATTCCTGGCCCATCTGTGAGTATGGCCTTGTGCTGCATTTGTCAACTCATATGTTTATTTAAAACTCATATTATTGAGATAAACATTATTTTACTATTTTTCCTTGAAATATTGCTTTTCTCTTTAATATGCATTTGGCATGTCATGAGAAATAAGTTTTTCACAGGAGTGCACTATCTTTTTTGTTTCTCTATTATATATAATATATTGTGAATACAATGGCTTTTAGGCAGGCCTTGACTGTTGATTTTTTATGTGTAAATTATGAATATTTGTAAAAATGTTTGGTATGATACACCTGACACAAGTGACCACAGATAACCTAGGCATGTCCAATCTGCATTGTGTTGTTAGGCATGTGTTACTCGCTGATTGCACTAGGTCCCATCTCTCCTCTGTCTGTCTCTCTCTCTCCCTCTCTCACACACATACACACACTGAGATGGGGTGTTACTATTAACTACTTTTAACAGTATCTTATTGAGTCCTTCACAGGAACGTTGTGTGCATGTTGAACATGGTGTTGTGCAGAGACCAACCGTAGGGATGCAGTGAATCCCAGCAAGGGCATTAGTCTCAACATGGGATACTCAATTTACTAGGATCAAAATTGCTGATATTAACACTAAGTGTAATTTATTTCTGTATCTTGGAGGAAACATGCTGAATTCATTCATACTTTCTGAAAGATAATGTCTCCTCACCTAAACGGTAGATAATATGCTGATGGCTGCAAGTTGAGCAATCATGCATACATTGGACTCTATCTTTGTAGAATTATTAGAGATGCCTACTAGTATATCATTTATGTGCCAAAAGTAGCATTAAACCTGAAAGAGAATAATTCTGTTAGATTAATTTACCTAATAAAGGTAGAGATCAATGAATTTCTTCTATCATTTCATAGTAATGCCATCAACTGGATATCAAGTGAAATAAGTACTTAAAGGACACATCAGAATTGTTCAGGGTATAACAGGCTACCCTGTTAAAGGATAATATTAACTTCGTCCCATATGCTTCATGTTTTCAAATTGTTTGTTCATGAACTAAGTAATTTTTTGTCCTGTTAAACATGTCATTGCAGTTGCGAGAGAAAAATAATTTTTTATTTCAAAAGTTAAGGAAATGCAGTTCTGTGAGGTTTCTTAATCTCTGACCATCAGTATGTGATAGTCTCATTCTAGGTAGAAAAAGTTTGGTAAGTGAGAAGCTTAATATTTAATGTACTTGTTAGAAGTATGAATGTTTCAGGAGAAACCTGAAACCAGATGAACAACATTTGATATTTGACGATTGAAACACCTTGTTCTGTTGGAGCTCAATCTCTAGTCAACTTTTTCATTATTCATTAAGGAAATCTAATCCTGCAGCTATTCTTGGTGAGAATATCCCCGATTTGTGCAATATGAGACATATTTCCTACAAAGCCAGCATACAGAGGGTACCTTTATGACATATTGGCTTGCTCAATGTATAGTATTCCCAAGGTGCAAATCCATCATGGATATACTAGAACATATATGTATTTCTGGTTTAAGCAAAGTAAGAGCCAGATTGTGAACCACACCGTATTAAGTTGTTAAGTTCATAGCAGACTGTATAGGTGACAAGTATGTTGTTTCTGTGGTGAGTTGGGTCAGTTTCTGTTTTCACTGTTATGGAGCAAGGAATCTCCAGAGCAATCTATGGTAGGGCTGTGCAGCAAGCTCAGTTCCCCACCAGCAACACCTGATCTTCAGTTCAATCACTTCTGTCCACACATCACAAATATTTCAACATGGGTCTAAGATAAGGCCAGGGGCAGTAGGCATCATGGATGTTGCAGCTGGGACTGTATGCCCTCTGCTTGCCCTGCGCATCTATGTGGTGCAATACTCTCTCCTTGTCATGGTCTCATCTCGGAAGTAGTCATACCACTCAGGTAGTCTGTGCGGTGATGCATCTCTCCCTGCCTCTTGACACCTTCTTCACACCACCACTACAACAACCACCACCCGATCCCATATCCAACACAGCCTGTATGGTGATGCATCTCTTCCTGCCTCTTGACACCTTCTTCACACCACCACCACTACAACAACCACCACCCGATCCCATATCCAACACAGCCTGTATGGTGATGCATCTCTTCCTGCCTCTTGACACCTTCTTCACACCACCACCACTACAACAACCACCACCCGATCCCATATCCCACACCACACAGCCTGTATGGTGATGCATCTCTCCCTGCCTCTTGACACCTTCTTCACACCACCACCACTACAACAACCACCACCCGATCCCATATCCCACACCACACAGCCTGTATGGTGATGCATCTCTCCCTGCCTCTTGACACCTTCTTCACACCACCACCACTACAACAACCACCACCCGATCCCATATCCCACACCACACAGCCTGTATGGTGATGCATCTCTTCCTGCCTCTTGACACCTTCACACCACCACCACTACAACAACAACCACCACCCGATCCCATATCCCTCACCACACAGCCTGTATGGTGATGCATCTCTCCCTGCCTCTTGACACCTTCTTCACACCACCACCACTACAACAACCACCACCAGAACCCATATCCCACACCACACAGCCTGTATGGTGATGCATCTCTCCCTGCCTCTTTGACACCTTCTTCACACCACCACCACTACAACAACCACCACCCGATCCCATATCCCACACCACACAGCCTGTATGGTGATGCATCTCTCCCTGCCTCTTGACACCTTCTTCACACCACCACCACTACAACAACCACCACCCGATCCCATATCCCACACCACACAGCCCGTATGGTGATGCATCTCTTCCTGCCTCTTGACACCTTCTTCACACCACCACCACTACAACAACCACCACCCGATCCCATATCCCACACCACACAGCCTGTATGGTGATGCATCTCTCCCTGCCTCTTGACACCGTCTTCACGCCACCACCACTACAACAACCACCACCCGATCCCATATCCCACACCACACAGCCTGTATGGTGATGCATCTCTCCCTGCCTCTTTGACATCTTCTTCACAACAGACCGCCTTCATGGTCTAGTTGATAGAATGTCTGTGCTGCGAGCAAAAGGTCAGTGGTTTTGATCCCTGGCCACATGATACCAAAGGACGCTCAGACATGGTTCTTAGCATTAAGGGGCTAAAACAAGGATTAGTCTGGTCTGAGTCAAGTATACTGTGTGTGAGTCGGGTATGCATGTAAAACTGCTATATAAGTGCAATAATCTTGAAGGCAAGTTAAACCCCATTTCACCCCTTTACCACAACCACTGCCCCATTTCCCAAACCACACCCTGCAGTCTGTGTCATAGTGCATCTCTCCCTGTCTCTTAGCATACCAATCACCACTACAATAACAACAACCACCACACCACCCCAGTCAAATACAAGCCCAGTCGCCTGTGTGGTTGGTGCGTCTTTCCCTGTCTCATCTCCTTCACACACACCACCACCACAGTGGCCAGAGCCCATCAGCCGCCATTCATACATGCCATGGTGACAGCTTGTCCTCATCAACACAAGCTGTACAACAGATAGATTTCATTAACATTTCAGCCGTTTTCACTCAGTTGTGTTATATTGTATGCCAGACATGATCAGCCTAGGACATAGGAGGTAACCTTGTGCCAGCTAGTCAACAGTGACTTGGCGAAGCTTTGGGCACTCCCTCTTGCTTGCCAAAGAGATCAGATAGCCTTGATGGGTAGAATGTTTGCTATTAGTGAGTGAGGTTGCTATGGGGGCAGATACACACCAGCATAGGTACAGTGGGTAATGTGCAGTGCTGGAGCACTCTGTAGGACGACATTCATCATCATCACGCCTTTCATCCTGGAAGATCTGATAACATTGTTGTACTGCCTCGCAGCAAGCCAAATGTGATAAAACAATACAATAATTTTAGTCAATTTTTAAAGTAGTATAAATTGTGAATGTGAATACCATGTCTTTAATTATTTTATCTTGGCATAACATTGTCCTATTTTAACTCCACATTTATTTTGATGATTTATTTTACTCTGTGCACAAAGGGGTAATGTCAACAGTCAACTACACTGGCATGGAACAATGTCAAAATCCATTTTTTGTTGAGAAATAAAGTTGTGTGATGAGGCATATAAGGCATCAGTAAGTGTGTACGTATAGTGTTAATATTAAGTAAAACTGAAGACATCTTTCTCCTTCCTTGCATCAAGCATAGCCCTCCAAAAAGATTGTTGCTTGTTGGAGTGTATTTTGCACAATATTACACAGTATGCCAGACTGAAAGCCTATTTGTTGTTCCTTAATAAAATGTTTCTGTATGACATGCAAAATTTAACAGGCTTGAGCAAAACAGCTTGCTAAATTTCAGTTTCCATTGACATCCTATATTTGGCCATGGTTTTGTTCAAAAGAATCTCTGAAAATTGCATATGTGCTTTGATCTGACCAGGATACATTGGGAGGCTGGGTGCCCAGCAGCAAACCCCAGTTTCACTCAAGTACTTGCTCAGACCAGGGGTAAGGGCTGACCACACTCTTGAGGAGGAGGAGGATTACATCAACAGGTCATCAGGTGTCCAGTTGATTTTTCCTTAAACATATGGTATGACTTCACAATGGTATCAATCACCTAAAATGTTAAATCTTCTCCAGGTGACTACAGATCTGAACTTGAGTAATCCGGGTAGCCTGTATAATGAGTATTACAATGCTCCCAGTAAGGTGCAGTGTTGGAAGACTGGGGTGTTGAGCAGGAGAAGATCACACTGCCTGTTCCCATGCTATCAAGGCCAACAGAAACAAAATGGCAATTACAATTTACAGTATGGATACTGATTCAATTCCAATTATACCTTCATTATTTGTTTGAAGATCTTCTGACCAGTTACTTAATGACATTGAGTTGATCAACACCACCAGTCTTCGCTGATTTTGTTCCTTCTGCATTTGCCTCATTCTAAGTTTACTGATATAACAAAAAATGGCTTAAATTTGGCAGTTACATGGCAACATTTTTGTCGAATATTTTGATGTTGTTTGTAATACTTGTATGTCCTCATCCTGATTGGATGATGTCCGAAACTTATATTTTGTTTTAAACCTTTTTTAAAAGTTACACAATTTATCTAAAAATATAATTTAAAATGTTTATACTGAACGTTGAGCAACTTTAAAATATATATGAATAAATATATATGAATAATATATATATATGTTTAATGCTTGTCTAGGGATACTGAGGTCTTTTAACAAAAGCTGACATGCATGCAAGGTTATTGTGGCTCTCTGAGGGAGTATTTCCCACTTCCCACTCTGTGTGTCAGGCCCTCTGGTGGGAGCTTATGTGAGGTAGATAACTCTGCTATTCAGAGGTGAACTTACAATGAGGTGATATTTACTCATTTACTCGATCTTTATTGAAATTGGTGTCCTGCTACTGATGTGTTTCCATGTTGTTATTGTCGTATGCTATCTAGCAACAAGAGTGTGCCGTCACAGACTCTCAACTTGATAGAAAACAGTTTAGATCCACGTGTTACAGGCTAGTGACTGAAATAAATGCTTTTGAAATATAAACAGTGCTTGGTTCTTCTTCTGCAGTTGTCAGTACAGTTACATTACATTTGTGTGATCAACAACTGGGTAGACCATGGGGGCATTGAACACAACCCCCTTCACTCTTTTTCCTTAAATGAAACGCTGCTAGTAAGTTTCCTTGTCTAAATTTGTTGTGAATTTGGGAGGCCCAGTCCACTAGGCCATCACAATTTAATGTGCAGAGTAACATCCATTACTATTGCCAAGATCTAGTCATTTTGTTTTCTGATCTATTTCTATTTTTGGTGTGGCCTTTGATCTTCACATACATTCACTGCATCTCCCTAGAAACCAATGGGGGCCACAATTTACTGGGCAGAGTTGTGTACCTTAGAGTAGTGCCAGGATTTGATGATCATGGGATCGAATACAACGTTCACCCTGAGTTTTACTTTCTCACCATCATAACCATGCTATTGGTATGGGGTCTGTTTCACTACTGTGACCTGAACTTGCACCACATCAAGCTGGCACAAAGGGACATCAACTGAAAATACTCTTCTCCAGCGTTTGCTCTTTTTATCCTATGTAGAACAATGAGGATAGTATACCTCCCTGCTCTTCAACACTCGCTTTATACAGTGGAACAAAACTCGGAATATACTACACTAAACTATTGAAGAGTCATCCACATAAACGTTTACCATCACCAGACATATTGTGTTGTATAGAGCATACACCTGAAGGTGAATCGGTTGTTACAAATTACAGTAGAGACATTTTGTAATATTGGAACATGCATATTGTATGAAACTAATGAAATGACCGTGATTTTCTAATTGACCCTGTTCAGGCGCCGAAACGCTCTCGATCCTGTCATTTTGCACTAGTACTTGTTACCGGTCCGTTTAAAGGCAATACGGCATCACGGTCAAACGCAAACAGTAAAGCTGTTATGATAAGTTTTCTCTCTGAATCGGATCGTGGTCGGGCACTGTGACTACATGCGCTTGCTCAACGTCAAGTTGACAGGTGATTCAACATCACTCAAACCGTCACAGCAACAGGGGTTCAAACACAGACCCAACTGTGTAATTTTATTATCAGGTGAGCTCAGTGAAAGCTCTGTCCAGCAGGTTGAAGTAGTGTAGAATTATTGTCCAACTGCATGACACGTATTTACCATAATAATAAATGTGACTATAGTCTAGCAGAATTTGAGTTCCACCACTGAGCGACTTACAAAGCTTGAGAGATGGTCAGGTGGCATAGCTTTGTTTGCCGGTGGCTGAACTTTCATTTATTGATACCATGTATTTTTATTTTGTGTTCCGATGCGGCGTTGTATTTAAACTCCGACAATTAGCCAGTAAAATGAGCCTAGTGAGTGTGGAACATGTAGGGGAGGCCTCGGATACTTCAACACTGGATACTTGTGCCATCTCCTCTGCGGGTCAAGAACGCAAGCCTGGAGGCCCAACTTATACCTGACTGTGGAAGGGTATTAGGGCAACAGTCTATTCTTTTTAATCTTCTATGTAGATAATACTTTCACCTACATAGATAGCATATCCAATAAAAAAAGTCCCGATAAAGCCATAATTTTGGACATTGAGACATGAGCATGATATACAGTATGACTGTAATACTTATTTATTAATAATCATTTCACATTTCACATTTCAAGAGGCCATAGCATGCACAGTACGTCACTGTATCCTTGGACAAGGTTATGGACTCAACTTGTCCCGCTATGATACTCTCACAGTTGTTGACTATGATGTGGAATGCCCATTAAGCATCTTCAACACTTACTTGGCAAATAGAATATATCATGAACATGTATATGAATAAAATTAGTTTACTGCAATCACCTAAACTGTCGAGTAAAAGAGACGTTACCAATCATCATTGTTTGTTTCTTAAAAAAAGTACCAATGTCAAGGAAGAGGCTTGTATTGTAGAAAGTCATGAATTATCAACATCATTACAAGTTACGCCCTGAATGAGAACAAAACTGAAGGTATTGTGCCCACAGTTTGGAGGATGGGGTCGATTGTCCAGTAAACGATCAACCATCAAGACTGAAATCAGCACATCAAACTCCCTTTAGTTCTTCAAGATGTCATGCTTGTCAGTCGGTATCATGTTTGCCTACCACGAGCATCAATGTGTGCCGAGCTCGACGATTCCTTCGCAAAAGATGTGAGATTTGATGCCATTCTGCTGGGAGGCCTGTGCTAACTGATCCGTGTTATAAGGGCGACCTGGTCGTACTTTAATTTGACGGTCGTCTTGATCCCACAAGTGTTCTGTGAATGATAAATCTGGTGATTGTGCTGGCCAAGGCAAGATGTTGTATGTTGAAAACAGGTTCCGTGGATTCTGTTGCAAGAACGATAGCACAACAGGGTAGAGAGATTGGTCAATGTAACGCTGTCCAGTGATGGTTTCCATCCAAAATCACCCGCTCTCCCATGCTTTAGCCAAAACTCCTTGAGACGTGGTCATGCGTTGCTCTTTAGGGTGTATCATACCAACAGCTTGTTCTCTCCGTTGTGGGGTTAATCATGTTATTTGTCACTATCCAACGGTTTGAGGGGAGTAGAAAATAGGGTACATATGGCCTCCATCTGCTTGAAAAATAAATCAGCCTCAGTAAGAAGTCTCGACCTCAATATGGCCATCCTCACCAATACAGAATATTTCATGAGCAAGGCCATAATCTTTGACATACAAACATGACCATGAAAGGCAGTATGCATGTAACCCTTATTTATTAATAATCATTTCAAATCTTCCAATTCAAGAGCCATAATAGTTGTTGACTGTGATGGAAAATGACCACTAAGCATCATATTCCCTAACTTGGAAACTGGCGAGCAAAAGAAACGTTCACAATCAACATTGTTTGTTCCTAAACAGAAAGATACTTGTATGGTCGAAAGACAGAATTAAAAACATCATTCCAAGTTTGCCTCACACGTACCCTATTGCAGTTTGAGATGCATCAGTTGTGAGGACGAATGGTTTGTTTTGGTCGGGATATGCAAGGATGGGGGCTGTTGTTAGGATTTGCTTGTTGGCATTTGATGAAACATTCGAAAGACGCGTCTTTTTTCAGAAGGTTGTATAGAGGGGAGGCGATGCCAGAAAGGTTTGCTGCAAATTTGTGATAATACAAGGCGAAACCTAAGAAATGACACTCGTCATGGACATTTTTAGAGGGTGGGATCTGTGTGACTGAATCTATTTTTGAAGGATCCACATGGGTGCCATCTTTGCTGAAGATCTGCCCTACAAGAAGCAACTTTACATTTGCTTGGTTTTAGAGTGTGCCCTGCTTTCATCTTTTGGAATACTGCCTTGAGGTGATTCAGATGTTCCAAAAACGTTTTAGAAAATATTATTTTATCTACATATATTAGTATGTAACGCAAATTATTCTTTATTGCCTCTGAAATGATTTTGCAGAAATGCCATAAGAGCATTTTGAGGCTTTAAGGGAGGCGATTGCATCCAAAAACACTATCCTGTGTAATTTAAGCCTTCATGTGTGGTATTTGCCAAAAGCCACTAGCACAAACAACCACACTAAAAATATTGGCTGAGGTGGTAGAGGGGCAAATATAGCTTTGGTAACTGCATTGATGCGTCTATAATCTAAGCAAGCAGTAGCAGCTATTAACCATGACAATGGGCGAGTGCCATTGAGAAGAGCTTGGCTGAATGATATTCGCTTCAAACATGTCTTGCACCTGTCTGGAACATTCTTTCTAATGGATGCATTTTGCCTATAAAAGGGAGTTTAGTGGGTCTGGTGTCACATGTTTCGATTTTGTGATGATGTAAGTGAGTGTGTCGTAATTCTGACCAATCTGAAGCCAAAGCTGATCATTGTGATTGGAGAAATTGATTTTACCGTGTAGTTGGACTTTCAATATTTTAAATATGCTCTTTGGAAAAAAAGCTCCACGACGTACAGGGGTATTGTTATGGTGCATGACTGGTCATGGTGTCGGCCAAGCCGCCGCTTCACCAATGGCTTCGATGAACTATCGCCTGTCTCCCGTCCATCCAGTGTGCCTAATAACGGACCATTAGCCTGGAGACTGTCATTCGGCTACAGCCAAAACTCCGTGCAACGTGGTCATGCGTTGCCTCTTGATGTATCATACCAATGGCTTGTTCTTTCACTACGTTAATCTCAGCATGGTTTTTGTCACTGTTCAACGGTTTGGGTGTGAATGACAAGTACATCGTTCTTTTTATATCGATATCTTTGTAGGCTAGAAGTTTCACTTCAAGCTCATGTTCCACTGATCTGGGTAATGTTACAGCAGTGCATTACTCAGCAAACTAGTGTGGATGTGTTTGGACGAATGATTCTCAATCATTTTGTAACACTATTCATGGTTTGGACCCAACGTGTCCAACTTTCAGTTTGATAACGTTTCTTTTTTTCGTTTCCATCAAAAGTTATGCTAATTATGTCCATTATCCACAGTCTTAGTAATAGCAAAGTACATTCTTCCAGTAGGTGTGAGTACAAACATGTCAAGTTGACTGGGTTTTGCTACACATGGTGTTGAAGAAAACCTTTTATTCATTATTTTATAAAATGCTTTAGTATATTGCTGTTTTCATTGTTCTGTTTCAAAATCACCTACATCTGTACAGTTATTAAGTTAAAGTGAACAGTGAGAAAATTTTGATATTCTTTCCATGGGATCTCAGCCCCTAAAAATGAAGAAAAGAAAACATGAACCTACCCCCAAAACCCGGGCCCCCAACCAAATATCAAATGGCCGCCCCTGAGTGCAGCCAAAGCTTCACTTCAAACTCAAGTTCCATTGATCTAGGTACTGTAGCACGCGCATTACTCAGCGAATTGTTTGGGTTGTGTTTGGCCGATTGATTCTCAACCATTTTGTAACACTATTCGGGACTTGGACCCAACGTGCGTTTTTTTCAGTTAACTTCAAAAGCTATGCTATTTATGTCCATCATCAACAATCTTAGTATTTGAAAAGTGCATT